TAAAAATAAATTAGAAAAAGAAAAGAAAAACAACAACAACAACAACAAGGCTTAGTGGGTAATGGTACTTGCCAAGCAAGCCTGGCATCTTGCATTCAGCCCCCCAAGTTCACATAAAGGTGGAAGAAGAAAAATGACTCCACAACGTTGTCTTTGGACCTCTATATAGATGGTCAAATGAAACAAGTTTCAGTTCCTTTCCATTTTTTGTGTTGGCCGGCTGGTTGGCTGGTTGGTTGGTTGGTTGGTTGGTTTTTTGAAACAGGGTTTTTCTGTGTAACAGAGTCCTGGATGTCCTGGACTCGCTTTGTAGACCAGGCTTTCCTCAAACTCACAGAGATCTACCTGCCTCTGCCAACCGAGTGCTAGGATTAAAAACTTGTGCCACCACACCCACCTTCCATTTCTTAAGATATGTTTTATGTGCACAAGTATCTTGCTTATATGTATGTTATATGTACCAAATGCATGCCTGGCACTTGCAAAGGCCAGAAGGAGAGGTCAGAACCTCTGGAACTGGAGTTATCGATGGTCCTGAGCTGCCATGTTGTGTGGGTGCTGGGAACAAAACCAGGTTCTCTAGAAATGCATCAAGTGCTCATAACCTCTAAGCCATCTCGCCAGCCCTCCAATCCCTTTTCATAATTCATGCACTATTTCTTAAACATCCTCTATGTGCATAGCAATATAGCAGATTACAAAGCAATTTCAAAGTAAGAGGCTTGGGAATATAGCTCAGCGATAAGCATATCTGCCTAGCATGCAAGAAGCCCTGAGTTTAATTCTTAACATTATAAAATAAGATATGAATTCTTTTTGCTTTTGGGGAGGGAAGTGAGACAGGGTTTCTCTGTGTAGCCTTGGCTGTCCTGGAGCTTGTTGGAGAACAGGCTGGCCTTGAACTCACAGAGATCTGCCTGTCTCTGGAATGCTGGGAGACTTTACATTTCACAGATAACACCAACACTAATATCACAGGTGCTACTCCAGAACGTAAAAACTAAAGATTGTAAGCTTTTTATGAAAAGGCTCATTCGAATGGCAACAGCCCTCCGCACCACCCTCCCAGTCCTTTGCAGTAACTGGGGTTTTGAATTCCCCACTCCTCGTAATTATACTACGCATTCATATGTTACATGTAGCCTCCTTATACGCAAAATGAGCTATTTCACACATCTTTTCTTTTCACGCCACAGTCTGAGTTGATAGGCCAGTGGGAGGCTAGAGGAACACCGTCTGGAAATATGCCAGCAGGGCTGGGCTTGCCCTCTTGTCCTCTCTCACTGCCTTGACACATGCTCCTCCTAGGTAGGAGGTATTACTCGCTCTCCAGATTTGGGCCCGCAAAGAGACAAATGAAACAAAATAAATAATTGTTACATGATAAGATGATTTTTGTGGCTACAAACTATCTTGTAGCTAAAGGTGAGCAATCAGCCTTTAATCCCAGCTCTGGGGAGGCAGAGGCTGGCAGACCTCTATGAGTTCGAGGCCACCCTGGTCTACAAAGTGAGGACAATCAGGGCTCTGTTACACAGAGAAACCCTGTCTCAAAAAAAAAAAAAAAAAAAAAAGGTGCGCAATTACCATAAGAAACATGCATCTCTTTTAAAACTTTGGGGTAGGGCTAGAGAGATGGCTCAGGTTAAGAACACTGGCTGTTCTGCCAAAGGTCCCGAGTTCAAGTCCCAGCAACCACATGGTGTGTCATAACCACCTATAGTAAAATCTAGTGCCCTTTTCTGGTGTGCAAACAGAACACTGTATAAGTAATAAATAAATCTTAAAAAAAAAAAAACTGTGTAAAAAACTTACCTCCTCCCCCAAAAATGTATGATTAAGTATATTTAAACTACTGAGGGTAACTGTTGTAGTGTCCAAACTGAGAAACACAAATGAAGATTTCTAAACCTTCAGCTACTTGACAGAATTCACTAACCACTCAATAATGCTAAATAGAAGGCTTTCCCACTTTAGACAGTAATACTCCTAAAGAGATATAAAACCAAAATGTAGACAAAAGAATTATATCAAATCAAATGTATTACAAAAGCCTGAATTACCTTATTAAAACTGGTAGTGCATTTTAATAAATTTTTACTGAAATAAAAAATTTACTTTAACCAAATATTTTTAAACCAAATCTCTATTTTCTAATAAATTTCAATTTCTTACATACCAACTATTCTTAGAATTAAGGACTCTAAAAATTATCAAAGGAAAAGGGATTCAAAAGAAATTATTTAATAGTAAAGCAGACTCGGTTGCTCACAACTGTATTCCTAGCAGTTGGGAGGCTGAGACAGGAGACTTGGCAAGAGCTTGAATCCAACCTGCTCTACCAGGACACACTTCTTAAAGGAAAGGAAGTTGCTGCTGGCTCTGATCACTACTGCCACTGAGCACGTGGTGCACACCTTTAGTCCCATCACTGAGGAGGGCAGAGGCAGGTGGATCTCTTGAGTTTGAGGCCAGCCTGGTCTACAAAGAGAGTTCCAGGACAGGCAAGGCTACACGGAGAAACCCTGTCTCAAAACAACAAGGAAAAAAAAAACCCACCACCACCAACGAAGATAATTTATCCAGGATGACAAAAATGACACACTATTTAGTCGCTTTGTAGTATTTGTTTTCCTACTCAACTACATTGGTCGAACCTCCCAGTTCCATCGGTTCATCAGTATATCCAAAGCTACAGATGCTCCCAGTCACTTTGTACTTAAAGAGGCCGCCAACCCACTATCGGACAAGCTTTCTCTCTCTCTTTTTCTTTCCTCCTTCCTTTCTTCCTTCGTTTCTTTCTGCATTTTTTTTTCTTTCTGCATTTTCTCTATGTAGCACTGGCTGCCTTGAATCTCTCTAGGTAGACCGGCCTGACCTCGAACTCACACTCACCTGTTTCACAAAGTTTATACACGTTCAAGAACCATAGCCGTGCATGATCAGTACCTGTCTGGTTATTTATGACAGTGCAAGCTTCCTCTCAAAGTTGACCTGGTAGAGGAGGCTGCTGCTGGCCTGATGCTGCTCTTAGCAGTAAGGAGGTGGGTAAGGATGAAGGCTGTGACCCTGGCTCCACAATTTGCTGTGCGATGAGTTACTTAAAACTCTACTTAATTCTCTCTCCCTCTCTGTATGCAGAAGGGGAATAATAATAAAAAACTACAACACAGAATTGCCAGGAGGCTCAGAGGAGAAATATATGCAAAACTCTTTACTATCTGTTGGTGCATAGCAAGCACTCAGTAAACACCAGATATTACAACTCTGAAATCCCGCTTCAAGGATGCCATCATCTGGGACTATATTAACATGGGGAAAGATGACTAAAATCACTTTTGTTCAAAAATTCTTCAATATAATCCTTTTTAAAAGAGGACAAAAATCACTCACCAAATAAAAATCATTTTGAAATCAATGTTGTTTTTCTCTAATGTTTATCAGTCTGGTCACAAAATGATGAGCAGAAAAGTATAAATGAGAATCTGCATTCTAAAAAATTCAAAAAATTTTAAAAAACAAAATGTTCTTGGATTTCTGCTTGCAGGATGACTGCTTACGTGTCAAGGCCATTTTTACTCTTTTCATATTTTACAGGAACCACATGACTTGTGGTTAGAGAATTTAAGCAGCTAACAAAGAAATTTGGAGAAAAACTGTTCAGTTTTGCTTCAAAATGAATTGAAATAATCAAAAACATTAGAATATGGAGTTTCAACATGTAATAAAATCAGATTTTCCAATGATTTTAACACTACATATATTTATTATTAAAAATACTAGATATAATAGGCTTTTGTAATGGCTCAGACTTGTTAAAGGCTAGGCTCACAATCAAAAATATAATATACCAAATTAATCAACAATAGACAATAGTATCAAATTCACAAAAGGAAACTTCTAATTTTCTTTCAGTGTTTTCCCAGGACAGACCCCTAAAATGTAATTAAACAAATAATCTCTGTGCCTAACGAGACAGTTGAAGGTGAAAATTACTTTTTAAAAAACTGGAAAACCATTACTTTCTCTACTCATTGTTAAACTCATACTTGATGTGACTAATTTAAGAATTCATTCCTGAAATTTTCTAAAAGCAAATCACAATAGCAGGCTTGAAAGTAACTACAATGAGAAAATGAGTTGGTGTTTTTCTCAAGGCAACTGAGAATTAAAAAGGAAATGGCCCAAGGGAAGGGGAGTACCATTTCCTTTCACACGTTAGTAAAATGTCAAAGAACTTTCAGGAGTCAAATCTCCTAGAAGTCTGACAGGAGGTCAAAGTTGTCTCAATGACAGGAAAACCAACAGACGCCAGATGACTAATAGAAAAGTTATCAAAACACTTCTGTGCCCAGGAGTAATTCCAAGGAATACAAAGTAGGAAGGTCCAGGATGAAAAGACAGAGAATAGTTAGGATTCTTGGGAGCAAGACAGTATTGCGACCAAAGCAACAAACAGCTTTGTTACACAACCCGTCAGGATTCTCACACTCTGGCTTCCTCAACATTGACTCTACCTATCAGGTAACATTTTTAAATAATAAAAAGTAGCGTGGATTCCCAAAGGGTGATCTGAACGCAAAAAAGGAGGTTCGATCAAGTCTGTGTTCAGTTGTTCTTTTTATTGCAAACCAAATCTGCTTCTTTCCATCAAAATAATAATTAAAAAAAAACAACAAACCTACCAGCTCTGTCTCCAAAATCTAATAGACAGTTCACTAGTGGATTAAAATATTATTTTTAATCCTCGCATTACCTCACAGCTAAAAATGTCAAGATACCACACCCAACATGTCTTTTCCCCCCGTGGGGGAGGGGGAGGGGAATACGGGAGTGGGGCCGGGAAACTACACGCGAACACCGGAGGTGGTTTCCCCAGCCGGTTCCTCCACCGGGATCCGGGCGCACACGTTGCGGAGGGCGAGCACAGGCCTCGGCGGGCTCCCTCCCTCGCCACCCGCTGGGGAAAGGGGCTGGACGCGCCACCCGGGGCTACTCACCAGCCGTCGTGCCGACCAGCAGGGCGGCCCAGAGCAGCCAAGGCACCCGACGGGGCCGCTGCAGCGAGGAAGTCATCCCTGAGCCAGCCACCAAGCAGGAGGGCAAAGAAAAGAAAATCTGGAAAGTAAATGCGGGCGGAGAAATCCGGCCAGGAGGCTGCTCGTCTCTCCGTCTGGTTTATCCTGCCCGGGATTACAATGCAGTTCGAGAGGACAAATGGCAGATGCGAGGACCTAGCTGGACGGCTCTCATTCCACCGCAGAATTCCCCTTCATTTCGCTGCCTCGCGGCTGAGGGGCTTGACTCGCCTAGGACGGGGTGCCCGGGCTCCCCAGACGGAAGGCATGTCCACGGGCCAGGGAGCAGGGCGCCCAGGAGAAATCCCCGCGATTATTTCCCTCGTAGTTTCACGATATCAAAAAAATATCCAGGTCTGGGAGAAAACATATCCAGGGTGCCGGGGGGTGGGGGGTGGGGGGTGGAGGGCGGGGACGCGATGGGGGGCACCGAGGATCAGAACGAGTGGCCGACGGCGGGGAAGGGCGCAGCGGGGCAGGCGGCGGCGCCCGGCCGCCCGGGTCGCATCGCTCCCGACTCGGGGGGTGGGGAGGGCACGGTCCGGGCTCCTCGTAAAGTTTCGCTCCGTGGCCTCCCTCGCTCGGACTCCGGCGTCAGCAAACCCCCTCGGCCGACTGGGTAGCGAGCCGCGCCCGCCGGCACGGACGAGCCCACGGGGCTTCCTCGGGGCGGTCGCGCGGGGGTCGCGCGGGCTGGGCCTCGGGACGCGGGGGAGGGGAGCGTCGCGGCGGCCCGCCTAGCCCCGGCTGGCCCTCCGGGGGCGCCGGGCTCGACCCCGGCCGCTCCCGCCGCCCGCCCGGCCGCCCGGCCTCGCCTCAAGCAGATTCCACCGCCAAAGGCCGGTCCCCTCCAGTCGATGGCGTGCGGGAGCCGCCGCCGCCGCCACCGCCGCCGCGTTCTCCGCAGCTCTGGGCTCCGGGCGGAGCTCGGGCGTCGCGGGCCGAGGGCGGGGGGCGGCGGGAAGACGGACGTAGGTGGCCGAGGACGGGGTGGGCGGCGGGGCTCGCCAGACGCCCCGCGCCCCTCCGGGAAGCACCTCCGGGGGCTCCGCGCCGACCAGACACAAAGGGGGGAGTCGCCGCAGCTGCCAGTCTGAGGCGCTCCCGGTCACCGGAGTCGCCCCGCCTCCTCCTCCTCGTCGTCGCCGTCCTCCTCCTCCTCCTCCTCCTCCTCGCAGCCTCCGGCTCTCCAGCCGACCCCTGTCTGTCTCGGGCCTGTGGTGCAGCGCGGGCGGCGGCGGCGGCGCCCGAGAACCGCACTGCGCCTGCGCGCCCGCGGCC